GGTACTTAAAAGCCTCAATCTTCTTTGTGTGTTCTCAGCCACTAACTAGTACTTAGGTGTACTAAATTTTGTTATCAGCGTGTACAAATGTTCTGTGTGTCACTGCATTTTAACTGTTCAGTCAGGGTGACAGACTGTTCTGCGTCATCCACAGCCTCACCAGGGGTGGTTACGATGACTACACCGGATTAAGGTTAGCAATTGTGGCATCAGACACTGAGAATTAGGGGCCAGAGGGCAGAACTGTGTTAGAAAGAGTAAGGGCTTGGGACTCAGACTTGACTTTGATTCTTAGTTCTAACACTTGCTAATGAGCAATGTAACATTTCTCAGCTCCATTTCCTGATAAAGTGTATTCAGTAATCTCCCCAACCCTGCCCTGCAGAGGATTGTTGTGTTAAATGAGACCAGGCACAGAAAACACCTGATAACCATGCAATGGGAGCACAAAATCTCAGAACTATAAAACAGCTACCATTCTTGCTTTTAGTAGATCTTTGACCCTGCTTACCAAACATAGTCACAAACTGACTCATTTATAATTTCTGGAAGAGAATGCAACCTACGAGAGGGCTATTAAGGCTTTTATTTCAGGAATAATTGGAAAAACAGAAGGAAATATATATATGAATGTCAAAATGAGCCTTTTTTCTTGCCTGATTTGGAGGTGGCAAAGCACTTCAGAATTATCAACAAGGAGAGAGGAGGATTTAGAAAGCAGGCAGTCCTACTTTGCCTAAGTGTTATTCACTCTGGCCTGGGATGCAGAGTGACACTGGTGTGGTGTCAGGAACTAAACCGGAATGAGACACTGGCAGACTGTGGGGAACGAGAGAGAACATCAGCCCTCTGTCATTAAAGCAGGGCTCAGATGCCAGGCAAATTCTTTACAGGGGCAGGTCACAGGTAGAGCCTGAGAAGAGCGGTTCAGGTGGCCTAGAGCTCACCTCTCTCACACATGTGGAGCTACCATGAAGTAGACTGCAGCTACTGTTTGAAGATAATGGAGAAGCTATCAGGTCTTGAAAAGATAAAATCTTAGAGAAGGGAGGATTTGAGAGAGAGGTGAACCCACAGTGTGTAGCTGCATTTTCCTTCTGGGCAATTACTGATTCCGGGTGTGGGTCAAAAAGCCTAAGAATCCAGTGGAAGGGCTTGGGCAGAGGACCTCTACTAAAAGGTAGAGAAACTTCTCAGGGATGAAGAAACATTAAGTAGAAAATGGAAGGGTGAATGTCTCTAAGAAGGGGCAAAATGTATACCCAACATCCTGCCCTTAAGACATTTGCCAAATTTTTAAGCTGACCAAAGAAGCCAAGCAGACAGGCTCTAAAGAGCACAACGGAGTTCGTGTCAGTCCAGGAGTGCTGAGCAGACAAGGGTAGATAGAGTTCAAGACTTACGTTGGGATGAGCCCAGTCAACTCCCCACACCCAGTCTTAGCCAAAAGGCTGAGAAGTGATCTGCTGGAACCCTTAATGGTTACACTTTAACAGCAGGGTTGAATCAGACATAGAAAAAGCCTTTCCAGAATTTCAGTCCAGCCTTGGGCCAGCTCAGTCTCTAAATGGATTGAGATAATTAGCCTCCATTCTAACTACCCTGCAAAGAAAGGGTAAACTTCTACTGGAGGAAGATATCATCCAGAGCCACTATAACTTTTAATACTCCATGTCAGCATTCAATTAAAAATTACTTGGCATGTCCCTAGGCATGCAGGGTTGGGGGGACCACATTATAATCACCTGTGACCAACAAAGAATAACCAGCCCCTAAAAAGGAAGTAAGCCATCAAAGTGTTATCAATAGAGACGTTAAAAGGATTTAAGTTCCCTGGTTAGCTTTCTATTTTAAAAGACCAACACTAAAGGCCCTCTTGGCAACGCTGCCCCAACCCTGTTGGGACCCCTCTGACTCTTTGAGAGCTTTTTCTGTATCTTCACTTAATAAACTTTTTTTTTAAAGATTTTATTTATTTATTTGAGAGAGAGAGAATGAGAGACAGA